AGCGGGGGGCCGGGAAAGCTGGAGGCACGCAGCTCTCCCTGGCCAAGGTCCCCACTGCCGGGATGCTCCTGCAGCCCAGTGTGACTGGGAGGGACACGGGAGGGTCAGCCTGAGGAGGTGCAAACCCTCGGGGAATTATTTCCTCCCCTCCCCCCAGCATCACCTGGCAAAGCGTTCCTCCGCTGCACGGGTGCTGTAAAACACTCACCCCTCCAGTATTCTTCACCACCTCCCTTCTTCTAAAGACCTGGAAAGCTCCATCAGGCTCGCAGCTGGAAGCTGATCCCCAGCGCTGACATTGTTCCACTCCACGTCCTTGGGAGAGATGCTTTTCCCCAAAGGGGTGGGAGGAAGAGATGGGGAAATGGGGGGGATGAGTGCAGGGTGGAGGGAGAGGTGGGCAAGTGGGGAGAAAAAGTTTTGGAGGGAGGGGAGGGAAGGACTGATGGCTGGAGAAGAGAAGGATGGATGTATGGAGAAGGATGGAAGGATGGATGGACAGATGTGGAAGAGAACAACGGATGGCTGGAGAAGGAAGGATGGATGGATGGATGGGAAGAGAAGGTTGCAAGAGTAGGACAAAACCTGGATGTTTCTTGTCTCCTCCATGGTGGGTCTGACCCTCAAGCCAAGTATCCTCAGCTGAGCTCTGGGTGCTGGGGAACACCCGGGCTGGCAGTGGGGTGCCAGCAGCTCTGCTCTGGGCTGGCAGGGGGTGAGCAGCTACCGCCTGGCGCTGAAGCGGATGGCTGGGGACCTCCTGTCCCTGCGCCAGCATGTCACCAGCCTGGAGGTGGAGAATGGGCACCTGCGGAGCAGCCTGACCTCACAGGAGGAGCTGGGCCACGCTCTGCTGGCCGACATGGACTTGGATGTTATGACCCGGGAGGAGCTACAGGACAGGCTGGGTGCGTGATGGGGAAGGTGGAGGCAGGGGGACAGAAATTCCTGTCCCCGGGCCGGGTGCCAAGGATGTGGCATGGCCTCTTGCAGCCACCCTCAAGCGTAAGCTGGTGGCCAGCACGGCGGAGACAAGGAGGCTGAAGGACCGTGTCCAACAGCTACAGAACGAGCTGATCCGGGTATGGAGGCTGGCCGGAGCTGGCAGGGGTTACCCAAGGGATGGGGTGGGGCCAGAGGAGTGGGGGGACAGAGCATCATGGCCCCCTATAGCCAAGCAAGTGCCTGAGATCCTCCAGACTCCCACCATGAGGCTCTCCCAGCCCTACAAGCAATGGCCCAAGGCTTGAGGCTCAGCATGGAGGTCCCTGGGGGCTTTTTCTCTTTGTCCCCCCCCAAGAAAAATGACCGGGAGAAGGAGCTGGTGCTGCTCCAGCGAGCCCACTGGCAGCAGCAAGCTGTGCTGAGGAGGTGCCAGGAGAAGGTGACCAAGATGAAGGGCTTGGAGGAGACAGTGCGGCAGCAGGAGAAGGTGAGTTGAGAGGCACGAGGTTGGGGGCAGAAGGGCAGGTTGAGGGGCAGGAGGCTCTTTGCAGAAAAGATGGGGACCCTCGGGCATGTCCCACCCCTCCGCGAACACCATGATGGTGGCGATGGTGGTGATGTGATGGCCCCCACCCCCTTGCGTTGGGCTGGTGACATGAGGACAGCTCTGCTCTCTTGCAGGTGATCCACGTGATGGAGCGGGTGCTGCAGGAGAAGCTCACCAGGGTGGGCAAGAGCACCGAGAAGCCAGCAGGTGGGTGAAAGTGGGGATGGGGACCCTCAGAGCCTGGGGACCCAGATACAGCTGCTGGGCTCCACTAGTGGCCATCCCCTTCTGATGGCTGGCACCATGGGATGCTCTGCAGTGGGGGTCAGAGGAGGTCCTGAGCCCCCTCTGACCCATCCCTGGGCATGGGGGTGGTGGGACTTGCTCCTAGCCCCCATCTCCACATGGGGCAGGGGGTGTAGGACATGTCCCAGTGGTCCCCCACCCCATCCCACAGGTGAAGGCGTCTCCAGAGATGTGCACGCGGTGCTATTGGCCGAGAACCGCCGGCTGAGG